CCTACGAGCAGGAGCCAACATGAGGCGAGGTCACCGGGGCACTAATTGGAAAGAAACCATGTGGAAGCCAGGCAGCTTAAAGTGTGCCAAACACAACCAACAAGACGGCCAAAAATAGGCAGGGTCACCGGGGAAAACGAACACGAGCAAAGTGAATATGAGCAGAAAGAGAACGAATACGAGTAGACTGACGTCGAGCAGAGAGAGAACGAATACGAGCAGAATGAATACGAGCAGAAAGAGAACGAGTACGAGCAGACTCAGTACGAGCAGAAAGACAGCGAAAACGAGCGGACTGAAATCGAGCAGAGAGAGAGAACGAACACGCGCAGAAAGAGCACGAACACGAGCAGAAAGAGAACGAACACGAGCAAAATGAATATGAGCAGAAAGAGAACGAATACGAGCAGAATGATTACGAGCAGAGAGAGAACGAAGACGAGCAGACTGAAATCGAGCAGAGAGAGAGAACGAATACGAACAGAATGAATACGAGAAGAAAAACAACGAAAACGAGCGGACTGAAATCGAGCAGAGAGAGAACGAATACGAGCAGAATGAATACGAGCAGAACGAGAACGAACACGAGACGAGCAGATCAGAAAAAGAACGAATTCGAGCAGAATGAATACGAGCAGAAAGAAACGCATACGAGCAGAATGGAAACCAAGCAGAATGACAAAGAACACGAGCAGAATGAATAAATGAGGTTGGAAGACAGGGCTTGCTGAGGAAAATGAGAACTTTATATTTCTTAATGTTTTGGGATTCTCTGGGTGGGTGGGTTTTTTTCTAGAGTCCAGACAGCGGCTCTACTAGAGATTGCTCGACCCAGAGCTGCTGAACCCTAAACCCTAAACCCTAAACCCTAAACCCTAAACCCTAAACCCTAAAAACCCTAAACCCTAAACCCTAAACCCTAAACCCTAAACCCTAAACCCTAAACCCTAAACCCTAAACCCTAAACCCTAAACCCTAAACCCTAAACCCTAACCTAAACCCTAAACCCTAAACCCAGACTCGTCATTGCCACCGTCTTCGCCCTGGGCCTCTCCTTCTGGGCGCTTTGCGCGCTGGGCTTGCCGCGCGGCCGGGAGAGAGGAGGTCTTGTTCAGGGTTTCCGGGTTCAGGGTTTCCGGGTTTCCGGGTTTAGGGTTTGGGGTTTAGGGTTTAGGGTTTTGGGTTTAGGGTTTGGGGTTTAGTGTTTGGGGCTTTGGGTTTAGAGAGGGGTTTAGGGGTCTTTGGGTTTTCTTTGGAGGGGTGTAGGGTGCTTCCAGGTTTATGCAAGGGTTTCGGGGTGTTTGGGTATAGGGGTTCAGGGGTGGGTTTTAGGGGTTTAGGGTTGTAGGGTTTCAGGAGTTTAGGGTTGACATCATTGAGAAAGGCTTTGTGAGGGTTGAGAGCTTTGCTGGCTTGCTGTGTAGTTTGGGAATCATGAACGAACGGTCAAGTTTAAGCTCCACACGCTCTTAGTATAATCCCCTCCCTGAATATTAACCCCCCCCCGGCTCAACACCAAGACGTCTTCAAGCCCTAAACCCTAAACCCTAAACCCTAAACCCTAAACCCTAAACCCTAAACCCTAAACCCTAAACCCTAAACCCTAAACCCCTAAATCCTAAACCCTAAACCCCTAAACCCCCAAGCCCCTAAACCCCTAAACTCCAAGCCCTGCCGAGGCCCCTGAAGCAGACTCTACTTTTGGCCCTCCTGGTTGTGCTCTGCCTGGCCGCGGGCCTGACGGTGAGGAGGCGGCTACGAACCGGTCGCTGGGAGCTCCCGCTCTATCAGCCCTAACTTACTAGGGTTTGGGGGTTTAGGGTTTAGGGTTTAGGGTTTAGGGTTTAGGGTTTAGGGTTTAGGGTTCGTAAGAAAGGGCATTGGGAGCCTAAACTACTATTTGCTGAAGAACCCCCCCCCAAAAAGTATGAAATAATCATCCCGAAAATGCCCATGTGAGGAAGAACATGTTTGTGCTTTTGGGGTTCTGAAGCAAATAGTAGTAACCACCTTTACAAAACACCCTGAACCCCCTAAAGCCCCGAAACTTCCCTAACCCCCCAAGCACCCTCAATCCTAAACCCTAAACCCTAAACCCTAAACCCTAAACCCTAAACCCTAAACCCTAAACCCTAAACCCTAAACCCTAAACCCTAAACCCTAACCCCCAAGCCCTCGACCCGAGCTCTGACTGCATCGCAAGAGCCGGGACTGCGATGGATCGGACGCTTCCAGGGACTCTGCGCGGGAAGCCTGTACAGCTCGCAAGCGGCCAGGGGTCGAAGATTTAGGGCCCCCTGAGATGGTTCAGGGTTTAGGGTTTAGGGTTTAGGGATTCTTTTTTGTGTTTCGGAAGGTTTTTCTGTCTACTGCCCAGGCAGGTATTCGCCTGCATGTGGCGACAGGGGGAAGGCAAAAGTTGGAGCACTGGCCGCGTCCTTCTCCACGATGCCGAAACGGCGAGACGTAGCATTGCCCTCACACCTCGGTTTCACATTCTCTGTGTTCAGCTGCAGTGCGAGCCATGGATAGCCTAGCGAGTGTGCAGCACAGGCACAGCAGTGAATGCAGGCACAGGCACACACGCATACCAGCCAGCGGCCAGCGGCAGGAAAGCGTTCCGTTCTCTCTCTGTCTTCCCCTAAGCCCTAAACCCCAAACCCTCGGCTCTTTCTTGTGCTCTTTCTATAGCGTGAGCTGAAGATTTTCTTTCCCGCTGCGCTGTGCTCAGGGCCTGCCCAGACCATCCCAGACCTCCGTCGTCAACTCCCGAAGCCGCCCCCCCTTTTGCTGCCCATGGCGGCCGTCCATCCGGGGCATGTTGTGGAGTCCGCTGCGGCCCAGCAGGGTTTAGGGTTTAGGGTTTAGGGTTTAGGGTTTAGGGTTTAGGGTTTGGGGTGGATTCAGGATTCCCAGCCTCCCATGTTGGATTCTGTTAGATGCCGGTTTGTGTCCCCTAGCGAACCCCACATGGGAGTTGACGAAAATCAGGGACCACGATAATTCCCCCCCAAATAGTTGGATTCCCAAATAACAAGAACCCCAATGAGGCACCCCTTAATTTCGGAAACCCCCCCTTAATATCCCCAAGCCAAAACCCCAACTCCTGAATCATACACCCTACATTCGGCCACATCTCAACCGCCCTATATCCCCAAACCTAAACCCTAACTCCTAAATCACACACCCTACATTAGGCCACATTTCAACGCCCTTTTTTCAACCCGAAGGCTGCTCTGTGTCTCGCACGCACACCCAGGTGGTGCCAGGAGACCTTCACTACGCATCTTGGCTCAGGAGATCTGCTTCAGAGACTCCAATGCCCCGAAATGAGGGAATATTCCTTAAACCTTAAAAAAGAAAGAACAAAAATACTTCAAGGAATATATAGTTTTTAAACCTGAAAAGAAGGAAAGAACATAATTTACGGGAATTTCCTTCATGAAGTGGGGTATTGGAGTGCCTGGGTGACATCTGGGGCATTGACCTAGAGCCTTTGCAGAAAGCGGACTTTCTCAAGCTTGAAAGCAAAACCTGGATTTCTCGACTGTGTTTACGTAGCCTTTGCAGCCCACGCAGCCCGATTCCACTGGTCCTTGGTCTTGTCAACAAAAACGGAGGGCGAAAGTAAAGTGAGATTATGCGGCGGATTCTCTGAATTATGGCCTTTTCTAGATACCCCATACGGGGTTTCCGAAATTAGGGGGTGCCTTATTGGGGTTCTTACTATAAGGGAATCCTACTATTTGCGGACTATAAGGGGTCCCTTATTTTCGTAAACCTCCATATGTATGTGGGGCCCCGTTTGAGAATAGGAACCCCCGAAAAGAACTTTCCTTTAGAACATCTCCGTATGTGAAGTGTCCTGTCTGTGATACACGGGAACTAGGGCAAGCTCCCAATTTGCAAAAATGTTTAGGGTTTAGGGTAACTGTTCTGATAGGAACCCCACAAGAGGGCCCCCCTGTTTGATCAAGCTCAGCTCCACAACAGCTTCCCCAAACCCCAAGCCCCAAGCCCCAAACCCTAAACCCCAAACCCTAAACCCTAAGCACTTGTTGGAAAGAAGGCCCTAGGCAACTCGCAAGAAAGACCAGGTCTGGGGCTTGATCAAGTCCATGCAGTTCAAGTTCTTCAAGCAGGTCGTGCAGGCGAAGTGCGAGGAAGGCAGCGTTGGGGTGGGGGATTAGGGCGTGTACGGTTTAGGTAGGGCTTAGGGCTCAGGGTTTTAGGGTTTAGGGCTCAGGGTTTAGGGTTTAGGGCGTAGGGTTTAGGTAGGGCTTAGGGCTTTGGGCTCAGGGCTTAGGGCTTAGGGCTTAGGGTGTAGGGTTTAGGGTTTCGGGCTCAGGGTTTAGGGCTTAGGGTGTAGAGTTTAGGCTTTCGGAGTCAGGGTTTAGGGCTTAGGGTTTGGGGTCGAGTTTGCAGGGTGTATGGTTCCGGGTTCAGGGTTTAGGGATCCGGGTTTAGGCTCTGTGCGGGCCTGGTGACGAGCACTGACAGTTTCATGCTTCATGTGAACACGCGGAGCGCGCCCATTCATTGAGTGTTCAGTTTTTTCAGGGTGTTTTAGGGCTGAGGCCTGCCAGGCTAAGGTTCCCCCCACCCCCCCCCCCCCACAAAAGGGACTCTCCGAAAGGGACTTCTGAATCTCGGAAGCGCCCCCAAATCGTTGCACTGGAGAACTTGTTAGACTGTTCTGTGTCTGTCGTGGACTTTGCTTCTTTAGATCCTGGTTTCTTTGAGTCAGGCTTCCGATTGATAAATCTCTAAATCTCGAAATCTCTAAATCTCCAAATCTCTAAATCTCTAAATCTCTAAATCTCTAAATCTCTAAATCTCTAAATCTCTAACCCGCTAAGCCACAAACCCTTCCACAGCAAAAAAGCCCTAAGCCCTAAACCCTTGCCCTAAAACCCTAAACTCAAAGACTGCTGGCAGGGAGCGACGTCGGTGCCCTTGGCCAGCATACCATCGCCTACACGGACAACACCGTCCAGACGATGCGAATCACGGAGATCTCGGAGCGGCTGCCGCTGAAGCGCAGCATTGGTATGGAGCCCCGCTGAGATGATCTTCGGGGAAATGGGGCGGGGGGGGGGGGGGGGGGGTCCGAAAAGAATGGTTCTCATTTGTCTTTGTTTATCCGTGTTCATTATATATATATATATACATAGAGAACTATACATTCGAGAAGTATATACATATATATATATATTTAGATATTGTTTGGTTTTTTGGGAAGGAAATCCCTCTCTCTAACTTGGTATGAAAGGGGGGATCGGGCCCCCACTGAGGAACCCTCAGGTTGAGTTAGCACTGGGGTCATAGGCCTTGGTGACGCTGGCTTGGTTGCTGTCTGAGGTCTCTAAACCCTAAACCCTAAACCCTGAACCCTGAACCCTGAACCCTGAACCCTAAACCCTAAACCCTAAACCCTAGGTTTAGCTGTTTACGATTCAGGGTGTCTAGGGGTTTCGAAGGTTTGGGGGTTTCGGGGTTTAGGGGTTTCGGTCAGGAAATGGTATCTTCGGATCCTCCGGTGGAATACTCGGCGCGCAACGACAGCATCACACTCAGCGCCATCACCCACGCCGACCGCCCCGCTGTGCATCCCGGCTTACTTGATGGTCTTGTTGCACGAGTACCTTAAATCCCCAAAAGTGACTCTCAAACGGAGCAACATCGTCTTAAAGTAGTCCACTGGCACCCGCAGCAATATGTTTTTCATTTTTTCCCCAAACTGGGGGGGGGGGGGGGGGGGGGGGGGGGGGCGCGGGGGGGGGGAGGGACACCCTTTAGAGGGTTTCCCTTCGGAAAGATGAGCGCATATGGACGGCGGCGCCGAAGCGTAATCGTTTGGGGAAAGGACCGCGCTTCTGCAAAGGCTGCCGCTCTTTGCAGTCCCAGAACTTGCATGTCGCCGTTTAGAACCCACGTTCCGAGAGTTTAGGGTTTAGGGTTTAGGGTCTAGGGTTTAGGGTCTAGGGTTTAGGGGGCCTTCCTGGCAGGGCAAGGGAGTATGGCAAGCCGGGGCTTGTCAAGACCGGCCGGCGTTGCCAAGTTGACAAAAGCTGAGAACCTGGACTGCTTGGAGGTTCATGGGTAGTTCTAAGTAGGGTCGTAAGTACCCTAAACAGCGTTATACGTACAGTTATCATACTTGTAACCCTACTTCTAATTTCCCTAAACCCTAAACCCTAAACCCTAAACCCTAAACCCTAAACCCTAAACCCCAAGCCCCAAACCCCAAAACCCAAAACCCAAAACCCTAAACCCTAAACCCTAAACCCGAACCTCCGAGTGCAGGCACCCAGGGTCACAGCGCAACTCGAGATTGGGGCATGTGGTGTTTCAGGGCTCAGGACCATTTCAAACAGACGTGAGCAAGCCAGTGCTCCCAAGCTGAGCATTCTTCCGAGTCTGCTGTCTCTTTTGGTTGTTGGGGCGGCAGGGGGATCTACTGCAGCAGTCAAAGCACTGACCGCAGATCAAACATCCTCATGTTCTATCGCGGCAACTTACCTTTGCATGGTACATCATGGTAGCCTTTGATCCCTAAACCCTAAACCCTAAACCCTAAACCCTAAACCCTAAACCCTAAACCCTAAACCCTAAACCCTAAACCCTAAACCCTAAACCCTAAACCCTAAACCCTAAACCCTAAACCCTAAACCACTCAAACCCAACACCCCAAACCCCCAAGCCTCACTCCAAGGGAGCACGTCGGCGTTTGAAGAACTTCCCAGCCTTTGTAAAATCTTCGGCCGCCATTTTGAAGCTTTGCGACACAGCCTTCTACATGCTTCATTCTGGTTCAGCCCGTTGTGCCTCACGGGCTTTCTCTTAATGTCGATCGGAGATGACAGCAGCGCAGGTGTAAAGGAGCACAGCTCATGTGAAGCAGGGTTTATACTACTGTTCTTGATGAGTGTACATAAGGCTCCTTTTTAATATTGGTGAGTGTGCATATTGGGTGTCCTTTTGGGGCTACAAGAAATACATCCCCTACTTCATGTGATTCAATGATGCTGGGTTTTGCGTCGCCAAGCTAATCCTACCTATCCCTGAGCCATCCCAAGCCAGAAGCCCGAAGCAACCGTCAAAGAGACAACTTCGAGCCCGAGAATCCGAACCTCGCCAAGCTGAGATTGAGAACGACTCGAGCCCCCAAGCTCCGAACCTAAGGTATGTGGAGTTCACCTCCGACTTCTCATCTGATGCCACGAGAGAGGTGCTGGAGGACTCGAAATTCAAGAAGCGCGAGTTCTTCGACGACTTGGTGGCCTTCAGCGGCAGCGCCGGCAGTGCTGCTGCGTGAAGCTGGGACGTGGATGGCACCGCCCATGGTGTTTTAAGCATAAGAGCAGCGTTCTCTCACCACTCCACAAGAGCTTTGAGGGTGGGTCATTGTTTTGGCACCTTGGGACAGGCATGATGCCCAGCCGCCATCTGTTTGTAGCGTTTGCCATTCCATGGTTCTATTCTGCATCAGGCCTGAGCATAGGTGAGACCTCATGTGGCTTTGAAGGACAGCATAGCACAGACAGACTCTGACAGCGAGAGCAGAAAGGGCCGCCTGGACATCATAGCAATGCTGAGCTTCGCATGCTGGACTCCCGAGAGCTTGGAACACCTGAGCCCTGAACCCCCAAGCCCTAAGCCCTAAGCCCTAAGCCCTGAGCTCTGAGCTCTGAGGTTTAAGCCCTAAGCCCTAAGCCCTGAGCCCTGAGCCCTGAGCTCCAAGCCCTTCACCGGTTTTGGGTGTGGGGGCCTTCGGATGGCTTAGGGTTGAGGTGGATTTGGGGTCTAGGTTGGCTTAGAGCCTCGGCTGCATCTGGGCGATGTGGTTCTGGTCCGCAGAGGTCCGCACTGAGAGCTGGAAACCCCAAACAAGCCCTAAACCCGAAGCCAGAAATCCTAAACCCTGAGCCCTAAGCCCTAAGCCCTAAGCCCTAAACCCTAAACCCGAAACCCGAAACCCGAAACCCGAAACCCCAAACCCTAAACCCTAAACCCCAAACGCGATTTCTTGGGCTCCCAGTCTGACTCAGGAAGTGCTGCTTTCACATGGCTTCCTGTAGGGGTTCCTTCCATGCTCATGCGGCCAGGAGCCGGAAGAAGTAAGGGTTCTTAAGCCTTTCCAGGGTTTGGGGTTTAGGGTTTAGGGTTTAGGGTTTGGGGTTTAGGGTTTAGGGTTTTTAGGTTTTTGGGTTCTGAGGTTCTTCGGGTTGACCGGCCTCACACCACGCACCGCCACCCACCCTTCAGCCCCCCAAGCGTTCCGCCGACAGGACTTGGGGGTTTAGGGTTTAGGGTTTAGGGTTTAGGGTTTAGGGTTTTCGGGTTTAGGGCTTAGGGTTTGAGAGGACTCTTCCGATGTGGGGTTCAGGGTTGACAGCTGAACTCCCCCCCCCCTCACCCCCCACTCTCCCCAACACTTGGAGTAGTGTCTGCTGCTACGCGCCCTCCGCGGAACTCGGCTGCCTTCGAATGATGCATGAGGTGCCATCTCAAAAAGCCCTAAAGCCTGCATGTTGTAGAGCTTAGGGTTTAGGGTTTAGGGTTTAGGGTTCACCAGGAGTCATGTTCTTCTCCTCCCATATGGCACGCTCACCCCAGTTGGTGAAAGCCACCGCCGCCTTGTGAGTTCGCCGTATGTCAGGCTGCGAGCAGCACGTGATGGGGCTCACTGCCGTGCTCTGAGATTTTTTGGCCTTCCCAATCAGCTGGGCTAATGTATGATGTTGGTACAGCCCTGGTTAGAGGGGCCGCAAGGCTGACACAAAGGACCTCAAGAAGCCCCAGCGCAGTCTAGAAAGCCATGACTGAAGCGGAGCAGGCGTCCTCAACTGGCCAAGAGGGCCATGAGCTGTGCGGGCCCTGGAGGGGAGTTCTTGTGTCAGTTCCCAGCTCGTGCGCATTCCATAGAGATGCAGCAGCTTCTGCCCATGATGGTTTACGGGGTTGGGTTTAGGGTTTATGGTTGAGGGTTTAGGTTTCCTAAACCCTAAGCCCTAAACCCTAAACCCTAAATTTAAGAGCCTCCGGCTCAAGCCGCCGACCCCGCTGGAGCATAGTTGAGAGGTCTAAACCCGCTCGCAGGGTTCGAAGATCATCCCAGCCTGCTCGGCAGAGTTCTGTGAAACGTTTGGGGGGGGGTAGGGGGTAGCACCAGGACAAGCTCAAGCCAGTGGCACAGGTGGGTGGGGTTGGGGGGGGGGGAGGGGGGGAGGGGGTGGGGGGTGGGGGGGGGGGGTGGGGGGGGGGGTGGGGGGGGGGGGGGGTGGGGGGGGTTGGGGGGGGGTGGGGGAAAACGCTGATTTGCTGAGGGCGCCCCTACCCCCTGTGCTGAACCGCCTGTTTACGCTGTGCGGGTGGCGCGGTCCTCCACGAAAAAATTGTGCCCGACTCCCCTACCCCCCCCCCCCCCCCCCCCCCCGCGTTTTGGGGGGGCAAGGAGAGAGGGAGGTTTTCACCTCCTCAAACCCATCCAACACGCCGCCAGGGTCGGCGGACCCTAAACCCTAAACCCTAAACCCTAAACCCTAAACCCTAAACCCTAAACCCACGTGCAAGCGTGTTCTGGCAAGAGGCCGACTGAGCCGCATGCCCTGCAGTCGATCGAGGTGGGGCCCCCGCCTGAAACCCTGAGGCTGTGGTAGAGGCTGCATAGGCGTTTAGGCTGTTTAGGGCACTATACTAGGCTTTGAAGAAGTTTAGGGTTTAGGGTGCCATTTTGCTTGACAAGGCCTTGGGCTCTCTGGGTTTTTTGGGCTCTCTCTGTCTCAACGAATCCTGAGCTGCGAGGAATGGCTCTTCAGTCCTGTCCCACGCTGAACCAGCGTTGCGGGCGTAGGGTTTAGAGCTTGGGGACCGGGGAGGTGAAGGACGAGCTTGGCCACCCTTGCGATCCTGAAATCTGCCATCCCATGTGATTCAGGTCGTTGTTCGATCTTGCCGTGGAGCTGGTGATGTGCCATACAAGCAAGGGACTTTGCTACAGTACAACTTTAGCACTTTAAGAGTTTTGGGGTTCCTCTAATTTCATATTAAGGGAGCTAAAAGTTAAACTTCTATTGAGGGGTTAAAGAGCAACCAAGTAACCATGCAGGTGGCTTGCGAGGTTTAGGGTTTTAGGGTTTAGGGTTTAGGGTTTAGGGTTTAGGGTTTAGGGTTTAGGCTAGTTCCCTCCCCACCCCCTCAGCGTGGAGGCTTCCTCTTCCGCCAGCAGCCCTGCTCCAAGATGCCTGGGGCCTGGCATCGAGGAGACTGTCGAGGCACGTGGGAGGGAGTTTAGGGTTTAGGGTTTGGGGTTTGGGGTTTAGGGTTAGGGAGGGGAGGGGAGGGGTGTTCCAAACGTTTGAGCAGTCTCGGTTACAACCAGAACAACCCCCGCGTGACATTCGCCTTGGCGTGTTGATGGTCGATCCAAGTGCCAAGGTCTTTTTGGGGGTCTCTACTGTCCGCAGTATAGTTTATAGACTTATAGAGCTTCTTAAAAAAGGGTTTAGGGTTAGGGTTTAGGGTTTAGGGTTTAGGGTTTAGGGTTTAGGGTTTAGGGTTTAGGATTTAGGGTTTAGGGTTTAGGGTTTAGGGTTTAGGGTTCAGGGTTTGGGGAGTTCATGGGGGGCAGGTACCTGGAAAACTTTCGGGAAGCCTAGGGAGCCTTAGGGAGGAGTGGGGAGTATTTGGGAACATTGGGTTTCATACCGCACTTGAACTCCCCTCCCTTAAGACCCTATAAGATAGTGTACTCCGTATAGTTTACGGAAAGAAGTCTGCACGAGGACCAGAAAACCTAACAACCCTAAGCCATCAAACCCCTAAACCCCGAGACCCTCCCTCAAACCCTAAACTCTAAACCCTAAACCCTAAACCTCTCTATCATTTTAAACCTTAAGGAATTCGTGGTTCAAGGACAATTCTCGTGGTTTTAGGCAATTTTTTCGTGGTTCAAGGCAATTTTTTCGTGGTTCAAGGCCAATTCTCGTGGTTCAAGGCAATTTGCCTTAAACCACGAACAATTGCCTTGAACCACGAGAATTGGCCTTGAGCCACGAAAAAAATTGCCTTGAACCGCGAACACTTTGTCTTGAACCACGAACGAATTGGCGGTTCAAGGCTATTTTGTTCGTGGTTCAAGGCCAATTCTCGTTGTTCAAGGCAATTTTTCGTGGTTTAAGGCAGATTGTCTTGAACCACGAGAATTGGTCTTGAACCACGAAAAAATTGCCTTGAACCACGAGAATTGGCCTTGAACCACGAAAAACAAACTCGTGGTTCAAGGCAATTGTTCGTGGTTCAAGGCAATTTTTTCGTGGTTCAAGGCCATTGTTTCGTGGTTCAAGGCAGTTTTTTCGTGGTTCAAGGCCAATTCTCGTGGTTCAAGGCAATTTTTTTGTGGTTTCAGGGTCTCAAGGCCTGCAGTTCAGGGTTTCAGTGCCTCAAGGCCTGGGTTTTAGGGTTTCATGGTAATTTGTCGTGGTTCCAGGCTGTAAGGCCTAGGGTTTGGGGTTTCAGGGCCTCAAGGCCTGGCGTTTATGGCGTTTAGGGTTTCAGGGCCTCACGGCCTGGAGGGTTTAGGGTTTCAGGCCTCAAGGCCTGGGGTTTAGGGTTTCAAGGCCTCAAGGCCTGAGGTTTAGTATTTCAGGGCCTCTGGAGTTTCAGGGCCTCCAGCCTGGAATTTAGGCTTCTAGACCTCAAGGCCTGGAGTTTAGGGTTTCGGGGTTTAGGGCTCAAGGCCTGGAATTTAGGGTTTCAGGGCTTCAAGGCCTGGAGTTTAGGGTTTGGCTGGGGTTGAGGGTCAGGGCCTCAAGGCCTGGCCAGGGCTTCAAGGCCTGAGGTTTAGGGTTCCAGGGCCTCAAGGCGTGGAGTTTAGGGTTTCTGGGTCTCAAGGCTGGTTTAGGGTTTCAGGGCCTCAAGGCCTGGGGTTCAGGGTTTCAGGGCCTCAAGGACTGAGGTCTAGGGTTTCAAGGGTTCAAAGGGTTTCAGGGCCTCAAGGCCTAGAGTTTAGGGTTTCAAGGCCTCAAGGCCTGGGGAGAGAGGCTAACGCAGAGATGCAATGGCAAGAACATGAAGTTAATAATATTAGGTGTTTTTGTTGTGTCCGGTCGTTAAGCCTGTGAAGCTGATATGATTGGAGAATACTTGTACTTTTGCTTTCTCAATGTTGTGGGATTCTCTGGGTGGGTGGGTGTTATATCAGAGGCGTAAATATAACTTTACTACCATAAAACTGCTCGATCCGGAGCTGCTGAACCCTAAACCCTAAACCCTAAACCCTAAACTCTCAAGCCCCCTGTAACTTGAAATTATTAA